CGCGGTGCCCCAGGGAGGTGCGGAGCCGCTTCCTCCGCCCTGAGGGGCTGCTCCCGGCTGGGAGGGGGAGCGCGGGTTCGGGCTTTCCCCAGGAGGCCTGGGCTTTCTGTCAGGCTGCGCCGGCCCGGGTGTGAGCCCTGAGGTGGTAGCCTGGGAGAGGTTGTACTCCTCCTGGTCAGGCCTGTGCCCCTCGTGGGCGCTGGGCTAGCTGGGGCGCTGGTAAGGATTCACTGGGGAGTGGGTTGTATGGGGCTTTTTTGTGTCTCTAGGCTCCTGTGATGCCACGGTTAAGGTCAGGGAAAGTAGTGTCAGCCAGCAAGGTGGAGTGGACCGAGCAGACAGTCACCAGCCCAGCCTTTCTGGGTGTGGGGGTAGAGCATACGACAGGGGGAAAGTTGGTAGCCAAGCAAAGGCCTCACCTGACACCCGAGAGAAAACCTGAGCAGCCCTTACCTTCCTGTCTGCAACCTGCCATGCCTTCCAGTGCTTCCTGCGAGCAGTTTGCTCCTGTTGCACCCATGCAGAAGGACAAAGATGAGAGTAGATGGAGGCTCCTAGGTAAAAAAAAAACATTTGAGAGGGCTGCCAGAAGCAAGAAGGGTGCAGCATGTCCTATTTTAGATGCTGCTGTCTGTGAAGATTGGCAGGCCACGGCTGCAGCAGCATGCTGGGAAGAGACTGTCAGGACAAAGACAGGACAAGATCAACAGCTGTTTTTCTCAGGAACTACTTTGCAAAATAATTTCTCAGCAGAGATGGGAAGCTTGGAAGGGCTGAACCTCTCAGGTTTTCAGGAGAGTTCAGAGAGCTCAGGAGAAAGCTCTGTGGAAACAGAACTTTCTTCTGTGGAATTAGAGCTACAAATCGCATCCTCAGAAGAGGAAATTGAGAGCACAGAGAGACATGACATTTCCTGTTTACCAGAACCAGACCTGATGCAACCCAGAAAGGGCACATGTATTCCTGAAATGGAAAGTGTTGACTCCTTAATGATACTGGAGATGCAAATCCCAGATTTTAAGAAGAATTTGGGGAATCCTCAAGAATCCTTGTTGGAACCAAAACCTCAGGAAGAGGTAGATACCCTAGAGAAGCTGGATAGGTACTCTCTAATTGAATTGAGAAAGCCAGGGAGACAGGAGAAAGGAAAGAGATTCTTGAGCGAGAAAGGTGGGACGTCTTTGATGAAACCAGAACGACAAGATCGCAGAGAGAGGAGTAGATCTGCCTTGCTAGAACAGCATACACATTGTCCAGAGTCCAAGGAAGGAGCTGTGAGTCTGAGGAAGAGGAACAGAAATGGACTGGTGTCACAACAGCTACAGGGTCTGAATGGCCAAGAACAACCAACAGCTAGAGGACAGATGAACAAGAGTCGCATGGAAGGAGAGCAGCAGAGTGCAAACCCTCAGAGAGGAGCAGACCGCCTGGGGGAAAGCGGTAAGCACTTGTGCCTGTTTGTTGAAGAACAGGTGCCAAATTTGGGCTCCCAGGGTAAGGAACTGGTGTTACAATAAGACCACATAAAAGTTAAAAAACAGGAGGTGGTTTTTCTTTTGCAGGAATGTATATGTGGGACAAAGTCATGGGGGCAGCAAAGAGTAGTAGCGGCTTGTACGCTATCTGAAAGTGACTCTTAGTGTGTGGCTGCCATCTTAGCTCAAGAAGTGTAGAGGTAAGAGTTAGGGTCTGCTTTGCATTCCTGTGAATGCCAGTCTTAGAAGAAGGCTTTTCTTGAAGCAGAAAAGCAATCCTTCAGCACAAAGGAGAGGAGACTAGCTACCCTCTTGGGGGGTGGAGGGAGGAACAGATAGCAGCAGCAACAGGCCCTGAGTAAGAACTTTATTATTTTTCCCCTCAAAAAAGGTCTGTTCCTTTATGAGAAGGTCAGTCACAAGCAGAAAAGGAGGCACTAGTTTCACCAAAGCCAAAATAAAAGATCGTCTTTTCTTCATTTATCTGTATGTTATTTGATTGGTTTTGAGCATATATCATGTTGTCTTGTTTTAGTGATTCCTATTACAGGACGCTGGTTTTTATTTTCAGAACTTTTTTGCTTTTTAGTTGTTCTCTGCAAAATCCTAGAAGATGTAGAAACAAAGATTGTATTTTGGTGTTTTAATAGAATGTTATATCAAACGAACAATTTTGAAAGAGTATTTTTGAAAATTGTTTTATTTTTTTTCCAGGACAATTGTCTGAAATACATTCTTTTTACTTTCAAAGAGGGTACATTAAAATGAGAAATATTTGCTGTCTAGAAACCATATTCTGAAAAACTGAGGTATTAAAATTGTATCTTATTTTGAAAACTAAGATCTAAGAAGAATATTCTACTAGCAGTTGCTTGAGTCCATTCTCCAGGCTAAATCTTCAAATGTACAGGTTGTTTACGCAATCTGTATTTGCTCTTTAATAAAAAGTAGTCATTAATAAAAATGCAGGTCTTGGACTTTTTCTGGGTCTTCTTGAATAGTCCCATGCATTTGGTTGGACTATATATCTGAAATAAATCAATATATTCTTATAACCGAGTTTTTCTATTACAGAAAATCTATTGTGTGAACAAAATATTTGAAGGCTGAGTGTGCAAACAGCATCTGCATTTTCTTGGTGGACTTGATCTAACTTAGTTTCCACCTATGTTTTAAGTATACAGCTTCCAACATTCTTTTAACACTTTAAGGTTCTGTTCATCTTTGCAATTTCTGAACACAAAACATCATTTGTTGCTGTAGGTCTGTTAATAGTGCTCATTTAAAAAAAAAAAAAAAGGGGTAAAACTTTACATAAATGTTTTAGGCTTACAGAGTGTCATTTTAGTTTAGTAGCCTTGCATTTTTTTGTTCTCTTTAGAAAATACTGCAATAGGATAGTCTCTTTTTTTGCCTTAGCATATTCTTCAATCACACTTCTTTGTTTTTAATCAGCAAAGGAAAAGTGGAAAGCAATTGAGCAAGACTCTGGTACACAGGCTGTGAAGAAGCTTAAGATGAATCAAAACAGATC